ACGGGAGTATCTGGCTCTGCGGCTACGACGAGCACACACAGGAGCAACGGACCCACAGGCGACTGGCGAAGCAGGCTCGCTGGGCTACCGAAACGCGCGAGGGCATCCGGACTACTGGCGCTGCTGGCGTCACGACGGCTACCTCCACGCAACCTCCCCCGACCGTCCCACGCCCCTCTCACACACCCCCTGCTGCACCCCTAGCTCCACTCCCACGTCACCCCCCTTAAACCCTAAACCCTCGGCTCCCACACACCCACCCCCCTCAGCGGCAGCTGCAGCAGTGGGAGACGGAGGAGGAGGAGGAGCTGCAGGTTACCCACACCGGTCACCCCCATGCCCGCCACCCCCAAACCCTAACGCAGGCAGGAGCGCAGGAAGCAGCAGGGGCGGGGCACGGAGGGAAAGGGAGGCGGCGGGGTGGCTCCTGGGCGCCACGAAGAAGCAGGGCGCGGGCCCCCCGAGGGCGCCACGGCGGGTGACGGGAGGGGGGCCGCGCACGGGCCCCCGAGGGCGGCTCGACGGGCGACGGGAGGGGCCGCGCGCGGGCCCCCAAGGCGCCGCGACGAGGCGACGGGAGGGGGGGGACGCGCGGGCCCCCAAGGCGCCGCGACGAGGCGACGGGAGGGGGCGGCGCGCGGGCCCCCAGGGCGCCGCGACGAGGCGACGGGAGGAGGGCGACGCGCGGGCCCCCAGGGCGCCGCGACGGGCAGAAAACCGCCGCGCGCCTCGGGGCGCACGGCGGGCAGAAAACCGCCGTACGCCCCGAGCGCACGGCGGGATGAAAAACCCTAAAAATTTCGCCGCGCGCTCCGCGCACGGCAGGAAGAAGGCGGCGCGCGCCCGAGGCGCGCGAGAAGCAGAACAGCAGCGGAAGCAGTTAGGTGGCGGGCCCACCCACAGGATCGACCCAAGGGGGTCGACCTGCTCTGATAGCATGTTAAGAGAACTAGGCAAGAATGATTGAAAGGAGAGAGGGTTTCACTAGCAGCAGTTGGGGTACATATAGCAAACCCTAACTGGGTTGTACTCGCTATAGAGCACCCCACTACAGGCTAGATAATAATAACATTCTGACAATGGCATGGGGAGGGAAATTTGCCAGGGGATGAAATTGCGTCCCCATTTCCATATGCCGTCATGCAGTTCGAAATGGAGGAAGTTTGGGGGCGTTCGTCAGGCCCTCAATCTTGTATTTGGTTCGGACAGCATGAGAGGCTCGGCAGCATTTTTACGGGCTGACCAAGCTGACGAAGCTTAACAAACCCTAACTAACGGGATCAAGAAGGCGTGACTGACCTTCCTGATCCCGCCGTTTTTGCTTTCAAAGGTGCTGGTGAACACCGCCATCATGTGGGCCAAGTTCTAAGCTGGCGAACTTATTTTCGCTGTTGGTTTGCTCACCCCCACCCCCCTCCCTCATTCCGCCTTGACTTTTGTTTCTCCACAAAAGGGTACTTGTGGAGATAGAGTTACCATGTTTTCAAGCGATAAACTTTTGCCTCCAGCTTGAGGTAAGTAGACCGCAGCTAAAAAAAAAAAAAAAAACCATGAAAATCAGTGTAGGTCATAGATGTTACTTCTAATCATAAGTGTTACCATTGATTATCAGATTTTTTACCCTGAGCCTACAGTGTAGGCTTTAATTTTACCATGTTTGTATTACATTGCCAGTTTTTTATGGCACAGGTATTTCCACAAAATGGGCTAGGTAAGCTAACATCAGGAATCGAAACTCGGCATTTAGGCGCTGAAGACAATTCGCCAACCGCTATGCCTCTCACATACGTTTGATATGTACACGACGTGGCTCCGTAACGCCCACCATTTTCGGGGGGGGTGTGGGCAGGGGGGTTCGAAATGGGAGGAGGGGCCTTGTACTCTGGTCACGACAAAATTCGTGAAGGAGAACATTATACTCAGTCATGAGTATGCCATATTTCATTACACTGATAGATCAGGAAAAAAACTAATCATGAAAAAAAAAAAAAAAAAACCTTGAGCAAAAAGTGTGCCCCTAAATATAAACCCTGATAATCAGTGTACAAGGGTAATTTGCACTAATAAAACTGGGCCTCGGCTGTCCTTGCTAGGAGTAGACTATTCGGTAATGAATTCTAATTCGTTACACTCTCCCAACTTCTAAATACGTCTCCCTTGTGTATAGGTGAGTCTTGCAAATCTTCGGTTGAAACTGATCTGACAGTGCAGAGAAGCGTTGGCCGTCGAGCTGACGCGTGGCTGAGCGCATTCACCAGGCGAAGTTCAAAGGATTGGAATTTCGGACGTTTATATTTGCCGATTTCAACCGGACGGACTCAAACTGCGATTGAATGAAGGCCATCGATGTATCGGATGTGAACCGTGCGGAGATTCACTCTACAATGCTGGGAGCTAGACTATAGGGAAGGTACGGCATCTAGGAGTGATTGTAACGTTCCTTAGCATTCTCTAGCATCTAATTTCACATACCAATTTGGCAAGAGTTTCACTACGGAAAGCTGCATTTTTGAATGATTGAACAAGCAATGGCAAGAATGACTACATCAGAGCCTGGCAATCTAGCAGCCAGGCAGGTCGACCGTCTGCACAGCAAGGTCGACATTTGCCAGCGTTGCGTAGAGACACCGCGCCAGCGCTGCAAAAGAGTGATCCGCCGGCGTAGCAAGTCTGTGGCTTGCCAACACTGCACCAACGCAGCTTACCAATGCTGCAGCAGAGCAGTCTGCCAGCGTTGCAACCGCAGGTGACACTAGCGCAAGTGCGCATCCACTTTGTATGTACGCGACGACGGTCGAGCACGTCCTCTACCGTCGCGCGGGTGCCAAGTCAGCACGTCCTCTACCGTCGCGCAGCGACGGTCTAAGAGCCACATCGACCTCGGGATACCAGCCCGAGGTCGCCTTCGCCATCGCAGCCTTGACGATGTTCGCGTGCCTCCGCAGAACTCGTCGAGCAGGTTTCTTGGTCGACTGAGTCGACCACCCAGCGTTCTGGTCGACGACCTCCCTCGTCCACCACCGCTTCGTCAAAGACCACCCTGGTTGACGGATTCCTTCATCGACTAGCTCGATCAGTTGCTGCTGTTGAACTCCCTGTTAGAATCTTAAAATACAACGAGAATGAATGAACTAGCAGGAAGTTGGGTACAAGTAGGAAACCCTAAGTTTGTGTACCCTCTAAGGCTAAACCCACTATAGCCTACACAATATAAACATACAATGTTTGACACACCCCCATAGGCGAAGTGGGAGACAACCAGAGGGTCACAAGACCAGTCAAAGCAAAGCAAGGCAAAACAAGCTCAGGGTGGATCTCAAGGATACCACACAAATTCCGAGCACAAGCAAGTGGTCACAAGACCAGTTCACATGCAGGTTTATAATATAACAAGAGGTACAGTGATCACAACCTAGCAAGAGTAAACATGCAGGTATATATATATAGATCACAGTACAAACAGAGTCAAGAAGTAAGCAAGTGAGGTCCAGCAGGCACAAGGCCTAGAAGAGTGCAGAAGCGCTGATGGTCACAAGGCGGAAGCGCCTTGGTGAACACATCAGCAGTGTTGGCCTCAGTGGCCACGTAACGCAGACGAAGCTGACCACGCTGCTGCAGCTCTCGAGCAAGGAAGTAGCGCAGAGCAATGTGCTTCGTTCTGTGCTCCAGTCTGTTCTCAGCTCCAGTTGTGGCTCACAGCCATGGCGGCCCAGGAGCTACGCTGGCTCACCTACTTGCTGACCGACCTGGGAGAGCGGCCTCGTTCTCCTCCAGTGCTCTAGTCTGTGCTCCTCACACAAGGCAATGGCTGCCTTGTTGTCGACGTACAGCACTGGAGGAGAACGAGGTCGCTCTCCCAGGTCGGTCAGCAAGTAGGTGAGCCAGCGTAGCTCCTGGGCAGCCATGGCAGCCAGCGTAGCTCCTGGGCCTCACAACTGGAGCTGAGAACAGAAGAAGAGCGTGTAGAACGCCAAGAAACTGAACCAGAGCCAAGACTGAAGGTGTAACCCTGAGACGACCGCTGAGTAGCCTGGTCGTCTGCCCAAGAAGCGTCTGAGTGCCCAGTGAGAACAACTCGGTCTCGCCCTCCAAGCACTAGCCCCATGCCCGACGTACTGCACAAGTAGCGCAACACCCTCTTAGCTGCATCCATGTGCTCCTTCCGGTGACGGCCGGGAGCGACATAGCGTGCAAGGATGCTAAGAGGGTATGCAAGGTCAGGTCGAGTGCAGGTCATCAGGTACATGAGGCAGCCCACAAGCTCTGGATACGGGCCACTCGGCTCTACGGACTCATCCGAAGGCAGAGCTGAGAGCGAGTGACCGGTAGGCAGAGGAGTGGGCTGAGGCGAGGAGTACGTGAAGCGGAAGCGTTGAAGGACCTGCTGCACCATGTGTGACTGAGTTAAGGTGATGGTGCGCCGTGCTCTGTCCCGGGTGATCCGCAAGCCAAGATAGCTTGTCAGTTCACCCAGGTCTGTGCACGTGTGTCTCTTCTGCAGCTCCGACTTCACGTGGGTTAGTGCCGGAGTGTCAGCAGTGGCAAAGACTAGGTCGTCTACGTACACGAGGATGTAGAACGGCGGCAGCGAGGTGTCGGTGCATAGAAACAGCGACGGGTCAGCAGTAGAAGGTGCGAACCCAAGAGCCGCCAGTCTCGTCCTCAGTGTGTTGTGCCACTCACGCGGCGCCTGGCGGAGACCGTAGACTGGCCGCCGGAGGCTCCACTGGGTACCAGGAGGGAACGACCCAGTGAATCCAGGTGGGCGGCGCAGCCAGATCTCCTCGTGCAGGCGGCAGGAAAGCAGTGCTGAAGTCAAGAGAGTGGAGCTCGTAGTCACGCTGAGCGGCGACGTGCAGCAGAACCCAAAGAGTGGTCATCTTCGGGGTGGGGGAGAAGGTCTGGAAGAAGTCAACTCCCTCTCGCTGACTGAAGCCTCGTGCAACGTAACGTGCCTTGAAGACAGGCGGAGAACCCGGCGGCCGCTTCACCCTGAAAATCTACATGCCACTGACGATGTTCGCCCCAGGCGGGGGAACCTCGTCGACGTAGGTGCCTGTGGACTTCCAGGAAGCCATCTCTGCGTCCATGGCTGTTTGCCACTGAGAGGAGTAGGGACCGGCCATCGCCTCTGCGTAAGAGCGTGGGGTCGGGATGTCTGGTGCATCCGGGTCTCCCTCAGGGGCAACAAGCATGGACACGAGATGGGGCAAAGCAGCAGCAAAGCACTGAAACTCCTCCTGCCTGTCCTCAAGGACGTCCGTGCCAAGAGCAAACTCACCCCCGACGGACGGAGGACAGACAGGCTCAGACTCAGCAACAAGTTAGGCTAGCGTCGTAGTCTAGACGACACGTGGCAGCAAAGTCAACAAGCTCAGCAACTAAGGCAGACGCAGCAGCGGACTCAAAGGAAGGGTCAGTGACAACAGTAGCCAGGAGACGCGTGACAGTAGGGCTGGCAGCATGAAGGGAGTCTGACTCCGGGTCAGCAAGAGCAGGAAGAGAGGACGCAGGAGGAGACGGCAGTGGGACACGCTGCGGAGCAGTGGAAGGACGAAGCGCCATCCGGTGAGTGCCTGGGACAGCAGGAGGACGCTGACGCGGGACACGACGACCAGTGCGAGCAGCACGGACAGGCGACGCACGACGAGACTCCGGCGACGCAGGACGAGACTCAGGCTCACGACGCTCAGTAAGACCTCTAGTCGGACCAGTGTACGGAGCAGGACCAGGGAGAGGGGAGGCAGGCAGTAACTGTGACTGTGACCGGACAGACGGCGGACACGCTAAGGAGGGAGGAGGACTAGGAGGAGGAGGGTGACCAAGAACCTGCTGAAGGAGCGGAACGAAGTACAGCTGCGGCCGCGCAGTGCCTCCAGCAGCAGAGACACCAACTCCAGGGTCCTCAGCACCAGCAACAGCACCACCGCTAGCAGCTCCAGCACCAGCAGCAGCTCCAACACCCCGGTCCGCATCACCAGCCGCAGCTCCAACGCCCGGGTCCGCAGCACCAGCAGCAGCTCCAACGCCCGGGTCCGCAGTACCAGCAGCAGCTCCAACGCCCGGGTCCTTAGCACCAGCAGCAGCTCCAACGTCCGGGTCCGCAGCACCAGCAGCAGCTCCAACACCAGCAGCGCCAGCAGCAGCGCCTCCAGCAGCTCCAGCACTGCCAGTACCAGGGTCCGCGACACCAGGCGCGCCACTCCGGAGAGTGCAGCGCCGCTCGTACCACTCACGGATCCGCTCAAGAGAGGGCAGCTCCCGCCTAGGAGGGGAAGCACCAGCACCAGTCCCAGTAGTACTCCTGGCTCCAGAGGCACCTCTCCTGAGGCTGCAGTACTGTGAGTACCACTCACGCAGCTGCTCCGAGGAGAGAGCTCCTCCAGGTGTAGGACTCCCAGGCTCAGCACCTCTAGACTCAGAACACCCAGACTCCGGACTCTGCGGCTCAGCACCCCCAGGCTCAGCACTCCCAGGCTCAGCACCCCCAGGCTCAGCACCCCATGACTCCGCACCACCAGGATCCGCACCCCCAGGCGCCGCACCCCCAGGCTCCGCACACCTAGGCTCCGCACCCCCAGGCTCCGCACCCCCAGGCTCCGCACCCGCAGCAGGACGAGAGTCAACAGCTACCTCAACAGGCTCAACCGGGTCTACCTGGGACACACCTGAGGGAGCGGCACCCTGAGGGGGGAGGGGGTCTACTACAGCAGCACCTGGCGCGAGGAAGAGAGGCGGGGGGGGGAGCGGGGCAGTGCGGTAGGGGAAGAGGCGGTAGTAGGGGACGGACTCGTCAAAAGTGACGTCCTGAGAGGGCAGGACCCGGCGCGAGGTGGCGTGGTAAAACTGCCAACCAGGCGCGTCCGGGACAAAGCCAAGGAAGACACAAGGAACAGCGCGGGAGGAGAGCTTGTCCGCGGACGTATTGCGGACAAAAGCTCGAGATCCCCAGACCCGGAAACGCGACGCATCGCCAACCTCCCCCGTCCACAGCAGTGTGGGCGAGGTCTCCGGCAAGGAGACACGGGGCCAGAGGTTGAGCTGATGCGCAGCGTACCGGACCGCAAACGGCCACAGAAAGTGGGGGGCAGCCGCATGGATCAAGGAGGTACGGGCGACCTCCATGACCAGGCCAATGCGGCGCTCCGCAACCCCATTCTGCTGTGGAGAGGCAGGAAGCGTGAACGACTGCTCAATGCCGTGCTCAGCACAATAGGCTGCCAAGAGGTCGGAGGAGAACTCACCACCTCTGTCAGAGTGCAAACGCAGGACAGGAAAGTCCGAGTGGAAACGCTCGCTGAGCTGGAGACGGGCTCTGCGGATCCAAGGGATCAAAACATCAGGGACCTCACCCTTGGTGCGCAAGGGGAAGACCGTGGTGTAGCGCGAGTAGTCGTCAACAACTATCAGGAAGTACCTCTCCTGACCCTGACCACGGACGCGGGCTGGGCCCCACACGTCCATGTGGAGCGTCTGCAAGGGAGCAGTCGTCGGGGGAAACGAGGAGGAGTGAGGAGCGGCGCGCTGCTGCCCCTCGACACAGGGAAGACAGGGAGGAGCAGGCGAGGGTGGGAGGGGAGGGAGGACCCTGGGAAGACCAGAGACAAGGTACCGGGAGTGCATGGCACGAAGGCGCTGCACAGACGGGTGGCCAAGTCGGTGGTGCCAGAGGACGGTCTCATGCGCCAGAGAGCGACACGAGCAGGGGGCCGACAGCTGACCTGACGCAGACGCAGACGCAGACGCAGCTACCTGAGGGGACTCAGTGGTCAGTGTGTACAGGTCCGACCCCGGCTGCCGAGTGAAGGTAGCCAGGTGACGGCCCGTCCGAGCACACGTGCAGTGTGTCACGCGCTCGTAGGCAGGGGTGAACTGGTGAACACCTCCGTCCTGGAGCGCACAACCCGCCACCAAGTTCGTAGAGAACGAGGGGAGGTGGAGACCTGACAGTGTGCCCGACGGGACCGCAGGACAAGGAAGGACAGTGGAGGAGGTCGCAATGACCGGACCCCCAGAGGGGTCAGCGAGGGAGACAGCAACTGGCCGAGCAAGCGGCTCAAGGGCAGTGCGGTCACGAAAGAAACAGCAAGAAGCACCTGAGTCCAGTGTGAAGGTGTGCAGTGCCTCAGTCGACTCAGTACCAGGGGGCGCAGACTCACTAGCACCTAGAGCAGCAGCCTCACCAGCACTTGGGGTAGCAGCCTCACTAGCACCTAGAGCGGCAGCCTCACTCACAGGACACTACAACTACACCTGTCCATCACCAGAAGCTCCCGACCGACCCACTCCAGAGCGACTACCACTACGGCCACCCCGACAGCCCCAACTGGCGTACCACTCACGAAGCTGCTGGGGTGAAAGAGGACACGGCAGCTGCACCTGTCCACTACCAGAAGCTCCCGACCGACCCACTCCAGAGCGACTACCACTACGGCCACCCCGACAGCCCCAACTGGCGTACCACGCACGAAGCTGCTGGGGCGAAAGAGAACACGGCAGCTGCACCTGTCCACTACCAGAAGCTCCCGACCGACCCACTCCAGAGCGACTACCACTACGGCCACCCCGACAGCCCCAACTAGCGTACCACTCACGAAGCTGCTGGGGCGTGAGGGACTCACGCGCACGGCCCTGGAGCTGCATCTGGCCTCGCCAGGAGCAGCAGTAGCAGCAGTAGCGGCAGTAACAGCAGTAACAGCAGGAGCAGTAGCAGTGGGAGTAGAAAAGGCAGTAGCAGCAGTAGCAGTGCTGGCAGGGCAATGCTCACCAGTGGTCGGCGCGGCAGGCGCAAGACGGTGGCGACCGCGGGGCCGCTACAACTGCAGGGCGGGGCCGGGCCGCAGCAGGGAGCTCCGCGGCAGCTGCTGCAGGGCGAGGCCGGGCCGCGACGGCAGCTGCTCCAGGTGCCTGGGGCGGCTGCTGCAGGTGCGGGCTGCTCCAGGGGCGGCTGCTGCAGGTGCAGACTGCTCTAGGGGCGGCTGCTGCAGGTGCGGGCTGCTCCAGGGGCGGCTGCTGCAGTGGCGGGCGGCTCCAGGGGCGGCTGCTGCAGTGGCGGGCGGCTCCAGGGGCGGCTGCTGCAGTGGCGGGCGGCTCCAGGGGCTGCTGCTGCAGTGGCGGGCGGCTCCAGGGGCTGCTGCTGCAGTGGCGGGCGGCTCCAGGGGCTGCTGCTGCAGTGGCGGGCGGCTCCAGGGGCTGCTGCTGCAGTGGCGGGCGGCTCCAGGGGCTGCTGCTGCAGTGGCGGCGGCTCCAGGGGCGGCTGCTGCAGGTGCGGGCTGCTCCAGGGGCGGCTGCTGCAGGTGCAGGCTGCTCCAGGGGCGGCTGCTGCAGTGGCGGGCTGCTCCAGGGGCGGCTGCTGCAGGTGCAGGCTGCTCCAGGGGCGGCTGCTGCAGGTGCGGGCTGCTCCAGGGGCGGCTGCTGCAGTGGCGGGCGGCTCCAGGGGCTGCTACTGCAGTGGCGGGCGGCTCCAGGGGCGGCTCCACGGGCAGGTGGCGACGCCGCGGGCAGGGCGACGCGGCGGGCAGGTGGCGACGCCGCGGGCAGGGCGACGCGGCGGGCAGGTGGCGACGCCGCGGGCAGGCGACGACGCCGCGGGCAGGCGACGACGCCGCGGGCAGGCGACGACGCCGCGGGCTGGCATGGGCTGCGTCGCGGGCAGATGACGACTCCGCGTGCAGACGACGACGCCGCGGGCAGGCGACGACGCCGTGGGCAGGCGACGACGCCGCGGGCAGGGGCTGCGTCGCGGGCAGGCGACGACGCCGCGGGCAGGGGCTGCGTCGCGGGCAGGCGACGACGCCGCGGGCAGGCGACGACGACGCCGCGGACAGGGCGACGCGGTGGGCGGCGAGAGCCTGCAGAGGCGGCGCGCGGTCGGGCAGAGGCTGCGCGCGGGCCTGACGGGTCTGCAGGGGCGGCTCTCGGGCGTGACGGGCCTGCAGAGGCGGCTCGGGGGGGGCCTGACGGGTCTGCAGAGGCGGCTCGGGGGCCTGACGGACCTGCAGGGGCGGCTCGAGGGCGCACGAGGGCGCACGAGGGCGCACGAAGGCGCACGAGGACGTACGAGGGCGCACGAGGGCGCACGAGGGCGCACGAAGGGTAGGGCGCACGAGGGCGCTTCTAGCGGAATAGTGGGCCCATTGTAGAAAGCGGTCCTAGGTAGCAACCTAGGCTCGTGATACCATGTTAGAATCTTAGAATAGAACGAGAATGAATGAACTAGCAGGAAGTTGGGTACAAGTAGGAAACCCTAAGTTTGTGTACCCTCTAAGGCTAAACCCACTATAGCCTACACAATATAAACATACAATGTTTGACACTCCCACCTTCGACGGCCACTCACGAGTCCCGCGCATAAGTTGATGACTACCTCCGTCGACCTACCCGTCGAACTAGGCCGCCGGCTCCCGTCGACGGCAGCTGTCGCCCGCAGGTCGACCACCTTGTCTACCTACACGCCCAAGTCGACATCCATATCTGCGTACGGTCGGCTGCTCTTCCCGCACACCCGACCGTATCGTCGGCTTTGCCCAAGAGAGGGCCAGGCCAACACCCAATTCCCGTCAACACTCCCCTGCAGAATTCACGCTTGGGCACCAAACTCACGTGATAAAACTATATGGAGAAAACTCGTCGTCGGCGTGCACCCGACACACAGCACGCCGTCACTGCACCAGCCGTGCAAAAGGGCACGATACCTACTGTTGCATGTCGTTATCACTGTCGCCGACGACGGCCAGACGCACTTGGCCGATCGCGACAGAGCACCGGTTGAAGGCCGGAAAGTGCAGCGCCTTCATAAAAAAGTCGGCCGGCCGCTCAGTGGTTGGGATGTGATTCAGCACAAACTTCCCGCGCTTCACCATCTGCTGTTGACAGGCGTAGCATCGCTCCATGTGCTTGAGGTTGACCTCAGCCCCAAGCTCTCAGCGACCGAGATGGCCGACTTGTTGTCCACGCGAAGGACAATCGGCGTGCCTCCTTGCCCGCTTTCGTGGTCGCGACGTACTCCGATTCGGTCGCCGAGAGCGTCGCGCACTTGATGCGCTGGCTCGACTAGGAGACTGCAGCCCCACCGAAGACGAACACGTAGCCGCCCGTGCTCGTTCGGTTCTGTTTGTCGCCCGCGTCATCGGCTTCCACGTAGCCGACCAGACTCAGCGACTATGGTCCACCGCCGAACTCCAAGGGAGTGTTACGGGTGTCGGCGAGGTAGGCGAGGCAGCGGTCGACCTCGCGCCAATGCTGGTCGCTCCTCACCATGAGGCCGCTCCCCAGCTTGCTGCAGGTGAAGGTGGTGTCCAGCTTCGTAGTCGTCGCTGCGAACTGCAGTGAGCCGACCTTCGGTCGGTACTCCTCTCTTTGCACTCGTGAGCCTCCTTGGCGTCTTCGGGATGCGCCCGGTCTACTCCTCGTCGATGAAGCGCCTTCGCCGCTTGCCTACGTAGCTCTGCTGGTGCACCCACAGCTTCCTTGTTTCCCTGTCGCGCACCGTAATTCACGAGCGGCGAGATCTCGCGCAGCTCGAAGGCGGCCTTCAGCAACTCCTTCAGCTCCGTCAGCATCATGGTGCTGCTGCTGGCAGCGAGCAGGTCGTCGACGTAGACTAGCACCCAATAGATCACTCTGTCGTTGCCGACCTTGAAGTATAGCGCCTCATGAACCTAGCCCTTCTTCCAGCCGGCTCTAGTTAGCACGTCGTTGAGCGCCTTGTACCACAACAGCGATGACTGCTTTGTTAGAGACTAAGGACGGAGTCTAGAACATTTAGGGACCGAAAAATCTCAGAATCGTTGGACCTATGCTTTGGACAGAAAAGTCGACTTCACAAGAAAAACCGTCGACAAAAAACTAACTGTTGGAATTCTCTCAAACTCGAGTATGTTGTAGCCCTTGATCGTTGTTATAACTCGAGTTATGAATTTCGACGCATTGGGGGGGTATGCTGCCACACAAACTTAACTTAATCACAATTGTTCTCACAAGTGTCACAAAGAGGATTAGAGTAGCTATCAACCAGGCAGGAGGGGATGAGGAGGACGAGAGGGAAGGTCCCAAGAGAGTCCCCAACCAAGGAAACCCCATACCACACAATTCCCCTCTCTATAGGCACCCCAACTTTGACATTTGTCACTTTCCCAACTCATGCCATCCACCTCACCCAACTTGGCCATACCTGCCAACCTGGTTTGGCTCTTCCCAACCACTTGGCAGCATCTACAGTGATGGGGACGAATTTCCCAACCCCCAAAAGTCTGTACCCCATATTGAGTCACACCACAAATTCCCATAGTCGCCGCATCACAATCAAAACTTCGAACGATAATAACTTTCTCGTTCTTGCTCCGATCGCGGCGATTCTTGGTTCGTCGGAAAGCTCTTGAGCAGGGAAGTCATTTCAGATATCTGCTCAAGCAAAATATCATTCACACACACTCAGAAAATCCAAACCACACCGAACACAAATTCTTGCACACGCTCACACCACGCATGCAACGCACGAACATATGATGGGAGGCAGACAGACGTGAATGCATATGGTTGCATCACACAACATGCTTTAGCCCGTAGAGGCTGTTTAGCAGCTTGCACACCCTGCCGGTTCTGTCATCCTAGTAGTTCGTGTG